ATGGGACATTTGTCTCCAAACTTTATGAACATATGATACAAATAAACAGGAGAAATAGGAGTTTCTGTTTCTTGCTGCAGTTGGAGTGACCGTGGGAACACAGTGGGAACTCGCTGCGTTCACCAGCCTTTCACTGTATTTTAAATATTCAGTATGTATTTAAAATGCCACTTAGATTGTTTTCAACCATCTCTGCAATTAGACGTCATTAATGAAAATGGTGAGTCTGCATTTGTTCTAGATTTTACCACAAACCCACAGTGGAATATAATTACATGTCAATCAGTTAAAGGCATACGAGGTGAACTGCACTGTTTTGGTTGCTTTCTCATGTTGATTCAAATAAGCAGTGTCGTCTGGATCAGGATGAGGGAAGCTTGGTTGCACTGAGCCTCTCTGCTCTCTGTAGATATCCTGAACACTCCTTGTCTGACCAACATCTTTATCTTGACTGCACACGTGCAGAGACTGAAAAATCTTCCAAATGGAAGTGAAAGAATTTGTCTGATATTCCAAATTGTGCCTTTTGTCTGAATTTGCATTTTGAGGATTTAGTTTCTGTGGTAGAAATCACAAAAAGGAAGAGAAAAACCACAGATGAAAATCTGACACGAACAGCTCATGGTGCGTGACATCCCTGCAGTGCGCTCTAACAACATTAGACTGCTTAACATCTTCAGCAGTGGAGCTTATCAGCCATGCATTAAAGCTTTTTGCTAACAGAGCAGTTAACCATTAATGGGGAATCAATCATCAAGCGGGTGTTGCAAGCCAACCAGTCTGCCTGTCACAACTTCAAATGCTGAGTGGGAATTAAAATGGTGTAAAATGAGAGAGGCAAATCTCTGGGTTGGAATTACTCTGCAACGGAGCAGAACACTCTAAAAGGTCTATGAGCTCCAGGCTGTGTGGAGGTGGTGCACAGCATTAAAATGACAGTACATAGCTTTAGAAGTGACCTGTGACCCTGCTGGGCTTGGAGATGGAGGGAGGCCAGTATGTTAGGGGCTCCTGACCTGACCCCAGCAAGGGCCCCTTGCAGTGTTCAGGTCATGTGCAGGCTTTACACACCTGTTTCCGGAGGAGGACGTGACCTAATGGCTGTAACTGCCACTTTCACTGCAAGTCAGATGCTCCTGTGCGTGCTTTCACACACTGCAGTGTTTTTGTGAAGAGGCAAGTGATGGAGTGAGGTTACACTATGTGTCGGACCTTATGAAACGATATAGGCTCATATTTTCGGTTGTGACTAACATATGAGCAAAACAAAACAGGGAAAAATGCACTCGTGCCTCGAACCGTGCAAGTTTTGGACTCTGATAATGGAATTCCAAAACTACAAATTGAAAGTCTACCACAGCCCAGAGTGTACATATAGGGAGAGCCGTCAGCCTCCACTACATGACATGTGTATTTGTGTCAATAAACAGCACTGTAATCTTTGTAGCTGTTGATGAGAGGAGTTTCAGAGCAGCACAGAGAAAAGGCTTTACCAGTTCACTTCCTTGCGCCTTGGCCACGAGGAGGCTTTACCTTTTAAAATGAAATGCTATGAAGTCTATAAATATAAGTGCTGCTCCATATTTGCACACTATATTCCCAATAGTACTTAGTACTAGTATTAGGACCAGTAATTTCTCTCTCTGCTATAAATAAATCCAGTTTAATATGATGTACTCATAACATCATCTGCCTAACATTACTCCTTAAACTCTGTCACTTACCTGTTATACCATCACTTAAGAGATACAGTAGGTGTGCAGCTACTGGCATGCATGCGTACCAATACAAGGAGAGTAATATTAGTTCCTGCTGACCAATTTACTGGTCAATTAAACAGGAGTAAAAATGACTATTTGACTGGTGTAAAACAAATAAAACCAATAATAATGTTTGAGGTTAAATACTGTCATGAATCCCACAGAGTGGAGGTGTGGACACCTGCCAATCCACATGGAGGACTTATAAAAATATTCATCCCCAGAGAGTGGTTATGAAAGCAGCGGTCCCCAACCCCCGGGCCGCGGACCGGTACTGGTCCGTGGGTCGTTTGGTACTGGGCCGTACTGGTTTTATTTAGTTGGATTTATCTGCGACACCTTAACAACTTGAAAAAAGGCTGGGGACCGCTGATCCTTAGAGACCAAAGCCAAACATTTTCTGATGTAAAGTTGATTATTTTACTTTTACACCCTTAGTGGCCACTATAGGAACTGCAGTTTGGGGCAATATTTTTCACCCCCAGAGCTCACATACCTGGTTTCTGTGAGCTCCATCATCACACCCTTCGTCGTCTTATCTTACATGTTTGCTTATGTTCGTGACCTGATGTCAGGGGCTCGCAGTCGCTGGTTCTCCCCTTTCTGTGTGGAATACCTTTCAAACACACAGTCCTGAAAGCAACAGATAAATGTGACGGAATCCAATGCACTGTGTTCAAGCTCCTGCCTGCTTTGTGCTTTTGTTTCCCTGCCTTAGCACAGGCTATTATGTTACATATGGGATTATATAAATGCTGAACATAATACACCAGGGCCTCATGTTCACGCACTGACAATATATTATGAAACTTTAGACAGAGAAGCTCTCAAATCCCTCCTGGAATCTGTGGCTCTCTCACGACCCGGTCCACAGAGGGGATTGGACGTGCAGGTCATTAAAGGGATACCTCTGCTCCTACTTGTTTTAATGTGGGAGTTTCTATGATGGGTTGAGCTGAAAATGGCAACTGCTGTAATGTTAGCATTCCTAAGTGGAAAGCAGTGGGCACTGCCAGTAGCACGCTGGCTCATTGGTTTCTGTCTAGGGGAGGATTGCTGGACTGATTGAGAAGTACTGGCACTAACAAGCTGTCTTAGAAGTATCCAGGGAAGAAATGCAGAAACTTTTCCCTCACACTCTAAGTGGAGAAGAAATATAATTGACTGGAATTCAGATTTCTGAGTTATCTCTAACTAAAGTGATGCTTCAGAGACTAGAATAGAGGGTCAGGGTAAGACTCCTGGTGCTTTACTTTCTTAATGAGGAAGAGGAGTCTGTAAGCAGCCCAGTGAGAGACCAAGAAACATGGAAAATTTATGTCCACGTTCAAAGGGATTCTTTTTTTGATCCCAAATCTCAGCCGATTTTCAGATAGATGTCTTTACATGACAGCAGTATCTACAGAAACAAGCATATCAACCAGCACCAGGTACAGGACATCTTTCTCATCAGTGTGCAGAATTATTCTTCACGGGTAGAAACTATTATTTTATTTAGTTTCTTTTTAATACTAACCGATTGTGTTGATGTCAGAACAAACTATTTATCTTGGTATAAATTTGCCCAGCTCTAGTTACAGAATACATGCCGTTACGTTACCCAATCAGAGTAACGTATTCTATGTGGCGCCGTTTGTAAACTGAAACACCCTGAAGTGTTTAATGACGGCATTTTTCCACGTTTAGCTCAAAACCTCACAAAAACACGTCTTTTTGAGTCATTTTTTACAACATTTACTAAAATATTTGTAATTTTTTATATTTAAAACACCATTTTAAACATTAAATCTAAATGTTAAGTCTAAACATGCACACCTGTGTGCTCAGAACCAGTCCAAACATCTTTGTCTGTGTTTCTTCATTATTATTTAACATCCATAACATGCAGTTCCTGCCCCACAACTCAAGTTGAGAGCTGGTTGTGAAGTCTAACTAAACAGTGTCACTGCTGCCATCAAAAGTTGTTGTGCTTCCTCAGTGAGCCAAATGAATGAACCTCATCCTATATTCATGCAACCGTCCCCTAATCCGCCCAAATGTGTAAAAATACAAACAGAATAAATGTGTCTTGCTAACCACGCCTCACCCTCCGGTCCAAATGTCAAAATCAAGACTTCACAAAGTAACATGTGACATTACTGTGGCCACCCACTGACACTTTTCATTTACAGGCTGAGAGAGAAAGAGCAAGCTACAACTGTGGGTGGAAAAGGTGAAATAACTCAATCTGACAACAAGCTAACTCATTTGAAAGCTACACAGACAACACATGCAGCTCGTTAGTTTTAATTAGAACCCCCTCTTCCCTTCGATAGCACCAACTGGACCAAAACTGCCTCGTTGGTGTCGAATTTTAGCGCCGTCAGAAAACATTAATGTTTCCCGTGTTTAAACCACCTGAGTATCAGATAAAACCTTCTGCTGGAAAATGGTGTTTTTGCATCGTGTTGTTCACAAAATATCTTTAGGGAATGACAAAAGCATGATCCATACCAAAAATATGTGAGCGCCAAACAACAAGCAATGAGGCTGAAGAAGTAACTTTTTGATCACGTGAGGGGAATAAAGATGTGACAAGAAAAATAAACTTTCCTTCCTGTTTCTCCCAAGTGTGGTTCAGCATTGTTCTAATTGAACAGACTGTGGGTGGAGGATATTGAGGTATGATAGTCTTTTACCCGGAGGCAGACAGAGATGACATGTAGACAGCGGAGGCATTGTCCCAGCCGCTGCCCAGCTTTTGTTTTCTCCATCACAGGAAAATAGCCAGACAACCAGTTGAGACAGATCCACATGCATCTCCAGCTGCCTGAGCCTCTGCCATGCTGTGTCTTGCCAGGTTTTTCCTCTATTTTCCTTCTTCTTATGCCTGTTATTACTTTTCAGTGTGGATTATTAATGCTGTTTCTATAGCATTTGCAAACTGGCTGCTATTCAGTTCTTGTCAGGAAGTGTCTTTCTGCTGACAAACTGACAGATGATTATTCATCTTTGTGTTTGTTTTTCATTTTTCCTGTTTGTACAGTAGAATGCTTTTGAATCTCAGAAGCCATTTGTTTGAGTTTGTCTTTTTAAAGCTCTGCATTTTCAGACACTGGCTTATTGTAGTGGAGATATCAAAGATAGGCACGGCTGTGGCACTGATTCAGTCTTTGAGCACTACGGTCACCCCGGTGTGTCGGCCAGAACACCACTTAAGGCCAAATTGCCCAGAGCACGAAAGAAGGAGAGAGCTTGAGGTTCCGTTTGAGGCACTTTATTGTCACCACTTAATTTCTGGGGCTGTAAACACAGCGGGTGTACATAAGTGTATGTCTGGGTGTGTGTGTGTGTGTGGTTTCCTACAAAGGAAATAAACAAGAGAAATAACAATAAATAAAGAGAATGGAAAAGTCAAATACTCAAATATAAACATAATACAACATAGTTAACATAATCAAATATAAAGATCAGAAAAATATAATACACTTCAAACTGCTCACACTATGCAACTAAATAGCATTAGTGCGAGGTTAAGCAACCGTCAGTACATGTGAACTACTTCCGGTAGTTATACAAAATAAAAGCGTCCCCCATTATATTCCGCTATAATGCTCCCATTGTGAAGGGCAAGCGGGACGCCATACTTCCGGCTATACTACGTTCGCTATTTTATTAATCCACGTACCTAATTGTTCACTACAAACCCCGCTACTTCAAAGTAAACAATCACAAGCATCACATACAACATATAGAGAAGGTCTGATAACACAGGAACGACATTATGGACATACGAGCGACCGTACATGCGTCAACAAAGCTAAACCGGGGCCAAGCTAACAACACAAGTTAGCATATGAAATGAGGGTGAACTCACGCGTTGCATGCGTGGCCTACCGCTCCAACCATGGACCACATTAGCTCCTAAATGGTAACATACTACAGTACTGACACAACAAAGGCAAAATACGACACAGGTCACTACTTACTTGTCATTTACGCACACCTAACATGCCCCAGGAATCAGTGCACCCCCTCCGGACCAACACTGCTCAGCCGCCATTAAACTGCCCACCTTACTAACCGGATGATGTCACTAGAAGGTGGGCTGGCCCAAACTGACAGAAGATGGAACATTACATGAACTTATATAAACTTATAAACACCAGTAAAACTATTATATGAACTTTGGGGCCTTTTATACAGCCGCCCCCAAATGTATGTAAGACATTTGCTCATCAATAAGGCAACAAAGTTCTAGGGTTGTGGTGAGTTCGACGCAGAGCTGTCCTCATCTTCTCCAGAGGGCAGCGCAGGGAGGACAACCAGTCTGGCAACTGGCCGAGTGTAGACTCTCTCCTTCACCTTCACGTCAGCTGACCTGATGCGTCCATCAGGGCTAGGATGAGTTTTATTCACCCTCCCCACCGGCCAGAGAGCCCTGGGAAGCTGTGGATCAGCGATCATCACCACAGAGTCCTCAGCCAAATCAGCTGCCGTTGTTTGCCACTTCTGGCGAGTCTGCAGACTGGGAATGTACTGACGAATGAAACGTGACCAGAAATGGTCAGCCAAAACCTGGGAGTGCTTCCAGCGACGGCGACTGAGGAGCTCACTCTCTGGGTATACTACCTGAGGTAGCGATCCATCCGGCCGCCCCATCAGAAGAACATTAGGAGTCACCGGATCTGCATCTCTGGCATCGGAAGACACATACCCCAGGGGCTTACTATTGAGTATCCCTTCCACTTCGGTGAGTACAGTGCGAAGCACTTCTTCTGGAACTGACTGAGCACCAACGGTGGCATAGAGGGCATACTTAACCGACCGGATCTCCCTTTCCCATGCTCCCCCAAAGTGTGGGGCACCTGGAGGATTAAAGCGGAAGCTGATCCTCTGGGGTGCTAGAAGCTGTTGTAGTTCCGGGGCCATCTTCAGAAAGGTCTCACGCAGCTCCCTCTCACCTCCCCTGAAGTTGGTCCCCTGGTCTGAAAACAACTCGGCAGGTGTTCCTCTACGGGCGACAAATCGCCGAAGAGCCATCAGGAATGCATCTGCATCAATGGTGTTAAGAACATCCAAGTGGACTGCCCTGGTGGTGAGGCACTTGAATATGATTCCCCATCTCTTCTCAATACGCCGACCAACCTTGACCTCAAACGGCCCGAAGCAGTCCATTCCCGTAGAGTAGAAAGCTGGTTTATATAGTCGTAGCCGGGCTGCTGGCAGGTCTGCCATCCTTGGCACTGTAGGTCTAGCTCTCCACCTTTGACAATCAGCACAGAGGTGTTGGTAGCGCCGGACAGCTTCACGCCCTCGCAGAATCCAGTAGGAGCGCCGAAGTTCTGCGAACACCCGCTCCGGGCCAGGATGATGGAGCGGCGATCAAAGTCTTGGATCAGGAGTTTGGTCACTGGGTGGCTTGGGTCTAAGATAATCGGATGGAGTGTCTCCAGAGCCAAATCTTCAGATCGACGAAGTCGTCCTCCAACACAAATGAGCTGTCTGGTCTCATCCACTTCGGGTGACAGAGAGAGAAGACGACTGCTCCTGGGAACTGGCTTACCGACTTTCAACAGGTTGTACTCCTCCAGGAAACTATCCATCTGGGCCCTCTGTAGGATCAGCCTCTCCGCCTTGCGATAGTCCTCAACAGTGGGATGACCATCTGGTTGGGCCGCCCCATGTAGCTCCCGCGCTGTAACCTCTAACATCTCACTCCAGGTTTTGTAGCGGCTCAAATATGAAGTTGGCTGACCTGACGGAGTAGTTGCTGTGGTCCCACAGAACACAGCTTTGCGCAGCTCCGAGGCATCTCCTGCTTGGTCAACCGTGAGATCCTCTGGCCAGGAGTCTGGACTGCGCAGGAGAAAGGATGGTCCTTGGCTCCATCTATTTGGTACAGCGAGCTCCTTCAACTTCTTCCCACGTGTCACATCGTCGGCTGGATTCCTTCCAGAGTCGACGTATCTCCAGGAGTGCCTGTCTGTCAGCTCTTGTATCTCGGCTACACGAGTGCCCACGAAGACTTTAAATCGGCAGGATTCAGACCTCAGCCAGGTCAGCACTGTTGTAGAATCGGACCATAGGACCGTCTGGTCGATTCTAAGGGTGAGCTCCCTTTCCAGCACTTGTGAGAGCTGTGCCCCAGTGAGTGCAGCACAGAGCTCCAATCGGGGCATGGAGTGGAACCGCTTAGGGGCAACCCTGGAACGGGCCACCAAGAATGACAGATGCACTTCACCATTTCTGCCAGTGGTCCGGAGGTAAGCTACTGAGCCATAAGCTTCTTCAGAGGCATCACAAAATATGTGCACCTCTCTCTGACAGCTGAGGGGGTCCACTTCCTTAGGCACATATGGTCGGGGAAGAGTAATTTCAGGTAGAAATTGCAGCTCTTCCTCCCAGGCTGTCCACTGCTGCATAAGCTCCTGAGGTAGGTGTGGGTCATCCCAACCCCTTTGCTTGTCCCAAAGATGGCAGATGATTACCTTCGCTCTGGTTGTGTAGGGTAAGATGAACCCTAGGGGGTCGTACTGGCTGGCCAAGACCTTGTAGATATTGCGCATCGTGGGGACTGCATATGGAACTTGACGATGCTTGTAGCCTAGGACATCTGTGTGGAATAGCCAGCTCAATCCCAGGGTAGATTCTGGGGTATCTACCTTGTTCTGGGTCAGCCATAGTTCCACACTAGCGGAGCAGCTCTCTTGTGGTAAGTGACTGATGACATCACGTTCATTGCTGGCCCACTGACGTAGGTCGAAACCTGCTGAGGCTAGGATGGCCCGTAACCTGTCGACAAGTTTCCTTGCCTCTTCCACGGTGGGGAAACTCTGAAGGCAGTTGTCCACATAAAAACACCTTTCGACCGAGAGTCTCACGTCATCATCTGGCTGGCTGTTATCCATGACATGACGCTGCAGGGCAAATGTGGCACAGCAGGGCTACACGTGGTTCCGAACGGGAGCACCCGCCACTCGTAGACTGCTGGAGGGCTCTCGTCGCTGATGTCTCGCCAGACGAATCTGAGCAGGGCACGATCTTCTGGTAAGAGATGAACCTGGTGGAACATGCCTTTAATGTCCCCACTCACTGCAACTGCATGCTCTCTGAAGCGCAATAGGACTCCCAGAAGCGACGCACCTAAGGTGGGCCCAGGCAGCAGGTAGTCGTTCAAGTTCTGTCCTCTGTACTGAAATGAGCAGTTGAAAACCAATCGGTTCTTGCCATTATGGCTCACCATGTGATGAGGGATGTACCACGCCTCCTGACCTTCTGTCACAGGTGTCCCAGAGCCACACTTAATGATGGAGCCAGCCTTGATAAGCTTCTCCATCTCCACTTTGTAGGCCTCAGCTCGTTCTGGGTCTTTGGCCAGCCTTCTCTCCACACCTCGTAGACTTGGCATGACGGCATCTTTAGTTGCCTGCAGTAGAGGCATCCCCTTCCGGCGAAGCAGTGGGGTGGCATAGCGACGTATGCCTTCAACCTCTATTCGGACAGTTCTGGTCTCCAGAATGCATATGGCCTCTTGGTCTTGCCTTGAACGAGTAACAAGCTTCTCGTTTCGGAATGGAACGATGTCGACCTGCCACAGTTTCTCCACATGTTTCATTAACTCACTGACCTGAGGTGCAACAGAAGTCAGCAAGCACTGCTGGGGTTGGGTAAGCTGGCCAACTATACTTGCTGGCCCTTGTAGCGCCCAACCTAGCCTGGTACGAATAGCAGCAGGCCCTCCTGGAGGTCCCAGCCTGACTGGTTCAACGGGGTAACCAGATGGGGATGGTCACTGCCAATGAGTAGCAAAGGTTTCACATTTAACAAGGTGTGGATCGGAAGACCAATCAGGTGCTTGTACCTTTCCCTGAGTTGCTCCATGGGATAAGTGTGGCCTGCAAGTCCGATGCGTGCAGCAGTGAAGGCCCCGGCAATCTTGAACCTGGTCCTGGGCCTTGATGGAGAAGAAACAGAGAACGACACTGACTCACCTCTGAGAGTCTGCACGTCCTGCCTAATCGTGCGCAGTGGGACGTCCTCTGCGATCCCTTGCATGCCTAACTTCTCGGCAGCCTCCGGCAGAAGCATTGTCCTCTCTGACCCGTCATCCAGTACAGCATAAGTGCTGATTGTTCGCTTGTCATAATGAATGCAGACTTTGACAATCTTTAGAAGGACTTTGCAGCCTTCTGTGGGTCTGTCTAGGTACAGGACGTCGGTTGCTGCCTTCGAGTCACCGCTCACCACCGCTGTTGTTAGCGACCCTTTAGGTGTTCTAACATTGACATCATGCAGTACCTGCAGGTGCTTCCCTTGGCAGAGGCTGCAAGTCTTCCTCAGATTGCACTGGGCTGCCTGGTGTGACCGTGCGCAGCGCCAGCACCTCTTGTTACTCTTTATCCACTCTGTTAGCTGGTCCTTTGTCAACTTGGATACCATTGTGCACTGACTAAGATAGTGCTCTTCCGTGTTACAGAATGGACAGTATGGCTTGTTCTTACTGGCCACACCACCTGGCCTCAAAGCCTGTGGGTTCGTCATTACCTCCTTTGCACCATGAAGGACTGTGATGGATCTCCTACCCTGGCGCACCTCAGGCCTGGGCCACTGTTTCTCCTTTGTCCCTTTCACTGCTAGCTGCCCTTCAGAGTCTTGGCACCAGGACTCATACTTGAGCCACCCTGCGAGATCTGCCAAGGTATGCATCCTCACACCTTGTTGGAACATGCAGCGGCGGAACTCCGCTCTCTGCTCGGGGGGTAGTTTACTAAGCAGACGAGCAACATGTGAACCACAGTGTAGTTCCACTTCTCCTTCTGGGCCTAGTGTCCTTAACATCCCCACCAGTGACTGTATCTGGAGGGCAAATCTCTCAAATGCCGAGACGTCTCCACGTCTGATGTCAGGTGAGTCCATCATCGCAGCAATACGCCTCAGCACTATCTGATGTGGTTGGCCGAATTTGTCATTGAGGGCCTCCATCGTATCAGTGAAGGGTGTGGCAGAGTTGAGGTAAGCATCGGCTATTAATCTGGCCTCCTCTAGGTGCAGGTGATCAACCAACACTTGATACTTGAACAGCTCAGTCGTGTCCTCAGGTAGAAGATTCCCCAATGCCATCTTAAGCCTAGCAAAC